ATGGATGGATGGATGGATCGATGGATTTTCAAAAGCATACATGTAGTACTTAAGTGTTCTTATATAAAGGAACTTGAAAATGTCGTGTTATTTAGAGAACAGTGTCGATCGATGCGTAGGATCCCTTAGGGAATATACGTACCATCAGAATGAGATATTTCCTATAATAAATCATTTATCTGTTGCTATCTTAAGAGTGACTACCAGAACTTTCCGGGTAAAATAATCATTTCCTCAAGATGAGACGCTCCATATGAAGTGACTAGTTGTTTTATTGCCATGGAAGGAAAGTCTCTACTTCAAAGTATCGATTACTGATCGAGTGAACTATGGTTTGTCATTCCTTATAGCCTCAGGTGGACGGTGTAGCGTCTGAGAACCGGGACGCAAAAGATTTCAGACGACGGGTTTTTTGAATTTGTTTTATCAAAAACATATACAACATGGGGTTTTTTAAATCGTTTTTGATCTATACTTTTGGAATTATTGAAAACGAAAATGAATGAAACTGGATGAATATGCATCACTCACTCTAAATCTCTCTTTTCTTTCTTTCTTTCTTTTCACGCTTTCCCCCGAGCAGCTTTTTTTTGTTGTTGTTGTTGTCGTTTTTTGTTTTTTCCAAAAAAATCTTTTATATATCCTTTTTTTTTTTTGAATGCAATATTGTTACTGAACATCAGGAGTTCATGAAAATATAAAGAACAATTGGGTTGCCTGTGGATAATGGTGTGGGTTCCCTGTGTCATAGGTAGGGAGTGGGGTGTTTTGTTTTATTATTCGAGGTGAGTAACAAAAACACCCTCAACTTTCTTGTTAACTTATTTAAGCTGCTTTAGACCTTGTAGTTCAACCTGTATACCTCAACTTTTATATCCTAAGGAAATATATTCGGTAGTTTTTAGCCAATTTTCTGGTAATATTAGTTTACTGCCCGTCAAATGTCAAAGTATTTCACTATATTCAAGATGAACAAGATTGATCAATTTAATGTATAAATTACTACAAGGTGTCCTTAAAAATGCTTAGGAATTCTGCAGCTATTAATATAATATCTTATTTCAAGGGTTATGAACGTTATTTCGTATTAAATTTGCTTCAATTTGTAGATATTGTATTTTCGGTTTGCTACTGTTACTCAAATCTGCAGCTCAAACGATGCTCTTGACTTCAGTTGAAAAGACAATTTTTCGATTTATGACCATAATCTAATTACCCTTGAATTTAGAATATATATTGCTAGGTATCTATTTGAAATTCTGCCTTTGGTTTACTGTAAATCAATTCTCTGTTATTTCAATATTTTTAATTTTGCATAAGTGAAAGTCATTGACCTACTAAACTTTATGAATAAATTAAGCTTTATATAGCTATCTATTCTTGCTGGCTCGATAGCTATCTTTTTAAATGCTTCGTAAAGTAAGGTTTGAAATATTGCAGAATTATTACATACATTCCTGTATTTTTTTTCTTTTTCTTTTTTTTTTTTTTTTTTTTTTTNTTTTTTTTTTTTTTTTTTTTTTTTTTTTTTTTTTTTTTTTTTTGTAGATACATGAAGTTTTTGTAATTATCATAATTATATTTAAGACCTTAGGAATTTCACTTCTAATCATTATGGGGAAGAAAGGAAAAAAGAAGAATGCAAGTGCAGGATCAGAAAATAAAACTTCAAAACACAACAAGGAAGTTTTGGAGTTGTGTAGAGAAATACTTGACGGTAAACATTCAATTTTAGTTATTTTTATTTATAATTACATCCTCACAGTATATGAAGATAACGATGATATCATGTCAGGTGTATTCCTGCTTACTTTAATATGCATTGCAACGAGTTTTTGTTTGTGGATGTGACTATTAAAAAGAAAATTACACATTGGCTTGTAGATATTTTATTTTCTCATGTTGAAGAATATTTCACTTGTGAAATATTTTCACCACTTGAAGATAACTCCATATCTTTGCATCACCAAGTAATATCCTCTAGATATTTTACTTTCCATTCTTAATCCAGCTTTTTTATAATGCATACTTGTTTTCTTGTATTTCAGTTGTTGTCAAAGACTTCCCTTTACTTCCATCAGCACAATGGGGTGAATATCTTAAAATATATGATCTCATAGAGAGAATAATGCAGAAACAATCTAGTAAGTTATTATTCTGTAGATTGATAGGGTAGGAATGGAGACCTCAGAGGTGCTACTGTTACAATATAGTGTACTCAACTCTTTGGTCTCATTTCTCAGGACTCTGCATCACATGTTAGTAGTAAGAGTTGTTTAGGTCTCTCCCTTGATTGTAGTTTTTTCCCCAGGTTCTCAGGTTTTATTTCCTCCGTCAAAATTAAAACTGCAGGGCCGTAACTAGGGGGGGGGGGGGGGCACAGGGTGCTCATCCATCTCCTTTTTTTTTTTGGTTCTGCTTTCTTTCGGTTACCTTTTTTTTTTGGTTCTGCTTTCTTAAAAGAAACGATCAATGGTCCGATTTTATTCAATGTGCACCCTCCCTGTAAAAGTTCTGGTTACGGCCCTGAACTGAAATTCAATTTCAAGCTGTAAATTAATCATGTCCTAACTTTGAATCTGCAGTTGTGAACAATGTTATTCACAGGAAAACACCCACTGTGTGATTAGAGTAAAGTCAATTGTATTGTATTGTATTGTAGATGAATGTATATGCTGGGATGGATTCTCCAGGGACGATCACATAGACGATTTTATGGCATGGTTTAAGAGTAATGGTGGTGTTGCTGATAAAGTACAAATACATGATTCTAATAAGGAAGGATATGGTTTGATAGCTGTTGATGATATTGAGGTAAGAACTGTATGAGAAATATATGATATATATACTATGAAAAATGGTTGTCTTTGTCAGTAATCTTGTAATGGACAGGTGGGAAAATGGATGGAATAGTGGGTAAGTGGATAGATGGGTGGATAGATTAATAGATGGATTGATGGATGGGTGGGTGGGTG